AATATGTCGAATATGAAATCACGTGGTTTTACAATTCTTCATAAGACTATTCAATACCTATAGTGCATCATGCTCTAAAATACGTTTCTCCATTTATAATAATGATGAAAAATCAAATAATTATACTGTTGCAAATGTTGCAGTGACCATCAGTTGGTCGTATAAACTCCGATCACAATTGTTTTGAAATGCACTTTTACTAGGAGTTATACCAACAATCGATGGTCACCTCGGCTGTACGTTATTATTTATGAGTTATTATGATTGACAAATTTTTTATAGAATATTTTATATTATTTTATACATCAATGCGACGATAGTATATGTGGTATTATATTATAATAAATAAATAATTATTAAGATTACCTGCAGCATGGTTTTGAATTCAAATTATGTTGAACAACTCGCCTCTCGACGTCCGCATTACCGGGTCTTAAAGGTTCAAAAAACGTTGTTGTACTGACCGGTAAGTGCGTGGGTGTGCTGTTTATTGTGTGTATAGGTCATTAAATTGAGTAGGGATGAGATACTGTTACAGCAGCGCCCTGTTGCGGCAATGGTCGTTTGCGGGGTGAATTCATCCGATTCGTCTGGAATAATATGTCGAAAACGAAATGATGCGATTTTACATCTCTCCATGGAACGTTAACAACACCTATGCTATAATAGAGTGCATAATTTTGAAGAATACGGTTCCTACTTCTCAATCGTTTTGTATTTTATTCCATGCATTATACACACCACATATTCTGCAGTATAATACAATATACACTTAAATATTATACTATAAAATATTAGTTTACTTTATATTAAATATCACTTAGATTCATGAAATTTAAACAATATGTTTATTTTAATAATTCAGATGCTTAACAAAATTTTAATAGTGTTTGGACTCATTTGCTGCTGTTCACAGACATTTTCAATTTTCAATTTTTTTTTCTATAAATGTCTATAAAATTGTATTTGTTTTGTCAAACACTCCAATACCTTAACAATTTAAAACAAGGTCGTGATATATTGTTACAATGTCAGTTGAAAAAAATTAAATCGATATATTTCTGAAGTTTAAATAGACAATATAATAGGCGCCCATGAGGCATCTAAAATGCTCGGACAATATTAAATAATGTATTGATTAGTTTTGTAAATTTGTTATTGGGCAGCGTTTAAGTCTCCGTAAAAAACTGTTAGCTCTATGTATTAATTTATTATAATTTCAGGACTATTCAACATGTATGGGTGGTTTGGACATTTTGTTGAATAGTGCAGTGATTTTAAACGATTCGTGCACGTGTAAACCAATGATCGAAATCCAATTCGAATTGTTTTAATTCCAATATATATGCAAGGCCACATAATTATTTTATTCTGTTAGATGTCGTAGGTCGGTAGAGGCGACACAATTATATTATAATGATTAACGATAGCTCTGATTATTATGATAAAATAATATGTACCATGTACCTGTATAAGTATTCTATATAAAATTAGGTAACTTCCTACTTGATGATAGCTAAATCCACATCTCCGTTCGTTTTTATTATATTATATTATTATTAGGATGATAGTGCAATAATTGTTTCCACTACGATACAGTAGAACTTCGATTAACCGTCACTGTCGGGACCGGGGCTATGACGGTTAATCGAATAGACGGTTAACGGAAATTTTGCAAAAAAAAACGTGTGCATACGTCATATATGTACACACATTTATTATATTTTTTACGTGTGTGTACTTTAAAAAAAAAATTACTTACATATAACATATAAATTAATTATTATAACACATGTAAATTATAAACATACATACCACACATATTATAAAAAAAAATCTGTAATTTTGGTTTGGTTTTTTGATTCTCTAGCTTTTTTAGCAGCAATATTACCTACGTATTTGACGTAGAAGTAAGACTTGCGTAGCATTTGACAATCGTCTAATCGCCTAATTATTTCTTTTTTTCGGCGATGACCGATGACGGATAACAGAGGCTGACGGTTAATCGATGTTCTACTGTACTTATATTTTATAAAAATATGTATTCGCGTAAACGCTAAACGAATATAACGGTTTTAATTATTTTGTTGCAATTTAAAAATATTATTTATCACGTAAGCCGGTTGAGAGGCCGTCCGTGGAGTCACAGGATCGTCTTTCGTAAACAATGATAATTATAGCAATATTTCAAATTTAACACTTTGCATTACAGTGACCCTTTCCACACGTAATGTTAATTTACCACGAGTGGTAACCACTTGCCAGCCTTTTTATAACTATCATTCCAACTTGAAATAAATACATTGAAGTGTCACATATGCTTGAATTATAATAGTGTTAGATTAGGGGGGAGGGGCTTTACCTTAAGCGGGCTTTCACCACAAAAAAAGTTTTTTCCTTTTAACGTTAGATAGGTGTATCTGCGCTTTGTTGCAGTGAACATTGTTCTAGTCCACAGAAAATGAAATCAACTATAGCCTACAAAATATGAAATTGCCATGCTTAGACTAATATAATATTCTCATAGGCCTCATAGACTAATATTGTCATACCCCCCTTATACCCCCCCCCCTTATGTCTTTAGTATGACTAGTATGAGTGGCATAACACAATGCGAAGTGCTACAGCTGCATTTGGCTACGTTCTCGGTAAACGAAGTATCAACAGTACATTATTATTAGTTATTACATATTTATTTTTGTATATTTTGAACAATGAACATACAATTCAGTATACAATATTATATTATAATAATTAAATCACTTTGGTTCATTCGAAATTTGACGCCCTATGCGGCTGCCTATTTTGCTACCACATTGAGCCGGCCCTGGATGCCTCGTGGGCCGTGGCTTTGCCGAAAATATGTCCGCACACACGCGGCATAGACGAGCGGCACAAGCTTTCTTTCGATGTAGACCGCCTATACTTGGCCGATCGGAAATAATTATGCCGCTTGGCGTCAAAAAAACCGCGGAAAATGTATTCATGTGTTCACACTCTTGCCGCGTGGAAAAAGCTGCTCCGTCTGGACGCGCCTTTACAATCCACACCAAACGCCGGCGGTAGAGCAGGGCAGAAGGGGCAGCTGCCCTGGGCCCCACCATTTTAGGGGGGGCCCCGTTCCTTTCACGGCATTTGATGATTTTTAAGCCTATAATTTTGTTTTTCAAATTAAAAATAAGAGTCTCGTCGGCAGTGGCAACTTGTGGGTTTTTAATATAGAAATCGGAATATCTATAATAAACGAGCGAGAGTGCAAATACATTATAATGCCTACGTACGACGCAGACGTCCAAAACAATTTTGATGTTAAAACCTATTACATTTTAATTCAAATTTTTGTGCAAAACTTGTAATTAGTGTACTTAGTGTACCTCAACATTTAATTGGAACATATTTTATTTTAATATGAAAAATGTATCCAACATAAGCAAAAAAATATCTGTAGCTTAATGTTTTAAGAAATAAATACATATTGAAGAGTGTACTTTTAGTGCTTAAATATTTTGTTTAATTGATGTGTACCCACATAAAAAAAAATAATATTTTTAGGTAAGTTACGTAAGTAAAATAGAAAAAAATGTCTTACTAGTACAGTAGAACCTGCGTGGGAAGTAGCTAGAAAAATTTTTTTGCCTCGCGACAAAAAAATTTCTTGGGCCCATTTTTGCCCCCGAGCCCCGCAAAACCTCCCGCCAGCGCTGTCCACACCCGAGCGAGCGTATTCGAGGTGATCTCACATGTTCACATCAATAAACTGTTTACGACGGATTTGCGTGTGGACGGTTAAGCGAGCAAATTCAAATAACCGCGCGAACGTGATCGCGATCCGTGCTCAGCACGAGGCCAGCTGACTGTCGGTCTCCTGGCCATGTGTGCTCAGAGGAAATCGGCGGGCGAGCGGTGCTCGTCTTGAGCGTGCTCAGGTGTGGGCGCTCCTTGAAACGCGGCAAAAACTGTTTGGGATAGAACCAATCGGGCTGTAGTCCGAGCCAAGCGACCGAATGTTCATATACTATTTTTAGAGCGGAATATTTACTGTTATTTTTATTGTTTCGACATCACAAATATATACAAAAAAAGTTAACAGAGTTTTAAAAAATTACAACTTTTCTCCCTATTTGGGATACCGAAAAAACCAGGTTGAACCGTAAACGTTCACCTCCTAATAGTATGCAAATCTGGTCGATGAGCTTAGACTACAAAATGAGCGGTCAGTTTTTGCTATATGTTTAGACTTTCGTGAGACTGATGCAACCAGGGCTGGGCAGTATCTTACCCAGATAGCAAAATCATAATATAATAACGTTATTATGACATTTCACTTGTAACGAGTAATATTATTTAATCAATATTAATTCATTATAAATTGAGTACAAAATTGTGATAATAATATTTTAGTAATATTTTTTGGCCACAATACCATCATTATTATAATATTTGTAGAAGAATATTATAAAAACAATTTAAGAAATATATCTTTATAATATTCCAAAATAATAATTTTTCAATTGTCTTTATGTTCTCATTTTAATATTATAATAATCATGTGAGAAGGTTTTTATAATATTAGTTTTACGTTTTTTAAACACAATATTAGCAGCTAAAATATTTGAATATATTATTATTATTAATTTTATTTTTTGCTTACAAAATGATACCTAATAGTATTTTGACTTTGTAAAAAGCTTTTTCATAAGCCAACATACCTGTTGAAATAACAGTTAGAAAAAGAGCATCTATTCTTATACTCTGCTATACATTTCAGTTTAACATAAAGACTTTATGGATATTTAAATTAAAATGCAGTCAGAAAACAAAAAAATAAAATATTTCTAATTTTTATTTAAAATAAGGAAAATATAATGTATATAGCTTGTAAGATAATATTTATAGGCATATAATATTATAGTATCATAAAATAAAAATAACAAACTTTTGTAATATTACAATACAAATATTATGTACTTAAAATGATTTAAATTAATAAACAGGTATTTTATATCTTTAAAATGTTTGTTTTAATAGAATAATAGTTGAAATTTTAAATTTTTGGTTAATCTATATTTTTAGAAGATTTTCTAAAACCAGCACCAGCAATGTATTTTTTAATTGGGTCTTCAATAGTTGCATTAGTTGAACTTTGGAAGTTTTTCATTTTTCTTATTGTTTCTGTAACAAAATATGTGGACTATTAACTATATATAGTTGAATTAGAAAAAAATAACATAATAATATATTTATAAGAAAACACTCACCAAAAACTATTGCACATGATCTTAATGAACAGAATATTTTCTTTTTTTTTTGCCCAACATAACTGTATTCTTTTAAGACATCGTCACTGAAAAGTGCTTTTAGTAAGCCTCGTACCGTAGAATTAAGTTTTTTTTTTTGAAGACGTTTGAGCTCATTTACCTGTACAAATGTGTTTTATAATTTTCATTAAATATATCTTAATAGTGTTATAAGTTATAACTGTTAATTAAAGAATAATTCATGTAAATTAAAGATACAATAAATTGTAATATTGTTAAATCAAATGTAATATTTTCACTTACAACACATAATTTATAAGACTTTTCCAAAAGTTTTTCTTCAAATATAAATAATTGTTCTTCGTCCATTATCGGAATCATTAAATAAAAGTCTTCTCCTTCTGTTGATATATTTTGGTGATTGGATGAGCCTTTGGTCTCATTAACTTGATTTATTGCATCTGTTAGAGTCTGTTCCATTTCCATCTGCTTCTGTTGAATGGACTGTACATCATACCTAATCTTTAATACCACATTTAAGATCCTGTTCAAAATATCTGTAATGGGAAAATAATATGTTTAAACAAATTAAAAGATTTATTAATTCCTATAAGTATCAATACAACTAATAAAATCTTACCAGAATGTTGGCCAGATGAATTGGTGCCTCTTGGTGTGATGGCTAAATTACTCTGCGGTGAAACATTCATCCTTTTGTGATCTTTAATAATATAATTATTGAATTTTGTAGATGAATATGGCTTAGGCGTCATGTTTTTAATTTCGAAATCATAATTACAATTTTCTTGAGTTGATGTAGATGGTCTATGGCCAAGATTTGATAACTGTTTGGTATTATGATCTAGGGAAAACAATGAATATATTGTAATAATATATACTCAGTCAATCATGACCATTAAATAGTTTAACAAGTAGCATAATATATTTACCTGATAACAGTATTTCTTCATGCACATCAGGAATTAATGATTGATAGTTGTCTTGTGATGTGACCTTAAATGGAGAAGATGATGTATTTACGATGGATGATATTTCATGATTACTTTCTGGAGTTGTTGATGAAGACTTATTCTCTGTTAATTATATATACATTTAACATATAATATAATATAATATAATATAATAAAATTGTTAGCTAAATTAAAGTATGAAATATAAATAATAAAATACCTTGAATTGATGTACTTATTGGTTTAAAAAGAGTTCTTTTTACTTTTGAAGGAGAGCAATCGGACATCTGATGATTATTACGACCTTAAAAAGACATAATTAGAGATCATTAAATAAAATCTTTAAATGTGTGCGTCAATAATTATAATATAATATACCTTCATTTGAAAATCTAGAACCAGGCATATTTAGTTTGGATTTTAATGATTGTGTCTTACAATTCTTTATTGTACTAATCTCTTTATAGTTATAATCTAAATCTTGGTTAAAATCTGCAAAGTAATTAAAAAATTAAAACTTTAATAGTTATAAACAATTTAATAAAACAAAAAAGGAGGTAAACATACCATAACTTGTAACTGTTTTCTGCTTTTCGAGTGAAGTCTCCAATGTTATTGACCTACCAAAATCTACCTCCCTAGAAACTAAATCATCTAAAAAAGGCAATTAACCAGTTATTATAATAAATATAATAATACATACCTACTTAAGTACTTGTATAAATTAAATCATGTTAATCGTATAATTAAACATAATTATAATAATATTATACTTTCTTTATTATAATATTTTATAAATAATATTAATAATACCGTATGTTGAAAACATTAAAATATTATTATTAACTAATTTTACTAAAAATATTATAATAATTATATTATAATAATTGTATTATAATATCTATAAAACAATATTTTTATTACCGTATATAAAAAATATTAAAATATTATTATTATTAAATGACTGAAAAAATATTATGTTAATTGGATAATTATGTTATTATAATAACATTATATTTATAACAATATTTGTGTACTGTAATAATAATAATATTATATTATTATCATTACACAATTGCTATCTGGGAGAGTATGAGACTCGAGAGCGTTTGAAATGATAATTGCNCCCAGATAGCAAAATCATAATATAATAACGTTATTATGACATTTCACTTGTAACGAGTAATATTATTTAATCAATATTAATTCATTATAAATTGAGTACAAAATTGTGATAATAATATTTTAGTAATATTTTTTGGCCACAATACCATCATTATTATAATATTTGTAGAAGAATATTATAAAAACAATTTAAGAAATATATCTTTATAATATTCCAAAATAATAATTTTTCAATTGTCTTTATGTTCTCATTTTAATATTATAATAATCATGTGAGAAGGTTTTTATAATATTAGTTTTACGTTTTTTAAACACAATATTAGCAGCTAAAATATTTGAATATATTATTATTATTAATTTTATTTTTTGCTTACAAAATGATACCTAATAGTATTTTGACTTTGTAAAAAGCTTTTTCATAAGCCAACATACCTGTTGAAATAACAGTTAGAAAAAGAGCATCTATTCTTATACTCTGCTATACATTTCAGTTTAACATAAAGACTTTATGGATATTTAAATTAAAATGCAGTCAGAAAACAAAAAAATAAAATATTTCTAATTTTTATTTAAAATAAGGAAAATATAATGTATATAGCTTGTAAGATAATATTTATAGGCATATAATATTATAGTATCATAAAATAAAAATAACAAACTTTTGTAATATTACAATACAAATATTATGTACTTAAAATGATTTAAATTAATAAACAGGTATTTTATATCTTTAAAATGTTTGTTTTAATAGAATAATAGTTGAAATTTTAAATTTTTGGTTAATCTATATTTTTAGAAGATTTTCTAAAACCAGCACCAGCAATGTATTTTTTAATTGGGTCTTCAATAGTTGCATTAGTTGAACTTTGGAAGTTTTTCATTTTTCTTATTGTTTCTGTAACAAAATATGTGGACTATTAACTATATATAGTTGAATTAGAAAAAAATAACATAATAATATATTTATAAGAAAACACTCACCAAAAACTATTGCACATGATCTTAATGAACAGAATATTTTCTTTTTTTTTTGCCCAACATAACTGTATTCTTTTAAGACATCGTCACTGAAAAGTGCTTTTAGTAAGCCTCGTACCGTAGAATTAAGTTTTTTTTTTTGAAGACGTTTGAGCTCATTTACCTGTACAAATGTGTTTTATAATTTTCATTAAATATATCTTAATAGTGTTATAAGTTATAACTGTTAATTAAAGAATAATTCATGTAAATTAAAGATACAATAAATTGTAATATTGTTAAATCAAATGTAATATTTTCACTTACAACACATAATTTATAAGACTTTTCCAAAAGTTTTTCTTCAAATATAAATAATTGTTCTTCGTCCATTATCGGAATCATTAAATAAAAGTCTTCTCCTTCTGTTGATATATTTTGGTGATTGGATGAGCCTTTGGTCTCATTAACTTGATTTATTGCATCTGTTAGAGTCTGTTCCATTTCCATCTGCTTCTGTTGAATGGACTGTACATCATACCTAATCTTTAATACCACATTTAAGATCCTGTTCAAAATATCTGTAATGGGAAAATAATATGTTTAAACAAATTAAAAGATTTATTAATTCCTATAAGTATCAATACAACTAATAAAATCTTACCAGAATGTTGGCCAGATGAATTGGTGCCTCTTGGTGTGATGGCTAAATTACTCTGCGGTGAAACATTCATCCTTTTGTGATCTTTAATAATATAATTATTGAATTTTGTAGATGAATATGGCTTAGGCGTCATGTTTTTAATTTCGAAATCATAATTACAATTTTCTTGAGTTGATGTAGATGGTCTATGGCCAAGATTTGATAACTGTTTGGTATTATGATCTAGGGAAAACAATGAATATATTGTAATAATATATACTCAGTCAATCATGACCATTAAATAGTTTAACAAGTAGCATAATATATTTACCTGATAACAGTATTTCTTCATGCACATCAGGAATTAATGATTGATAGTTGTCTTGTGATGTGACCTTAAATGGAGAAGATGATGTATTTACGATGGATGATATTTCATGATTACTTTCTGGAGTTGTTGATGAAGACTTATTCTCTGTTAATTATATATACATTTAACATATAATATAATATAATATAATATAATAAAATTGTTAGCTAAATTAAAGTATGAAATATAAATAATAAAATACCTTGAATTGATGTACTTATTGGTTTAAAAAGAGTTCTTTTTACTTTTGAAGGAGAGCAATCGGACATCTGATGATTATTACGACCTTAAAAAGACATAATTAGAGATCATTAAATAAAATCTTTAAATGTGTGCGTCAATAATTATAATATAATATACCTTCATTTGAAAATCTAGAACCAGGCATATTTAGTTTGGATTTTAATGATTGTGTCTTACAATTCTTTATTGTACTAATCTCTTTATAGTTATAATCTAAATCTTGGTTAAAATCTGCAAAGTAATTAAAAAATTAAAACTTTAATAGTTATAAACAATTTAATAAAACAAAAAAGGAGGTAAACATACCATAACTTGTAACTGTTTTCTGCTTTTCGAGTGAAGTCTCCAATGTTATTGACCTACCAAAATCTACCTCCCTAGAAACTAAATCATCTAAAAAAGGCAATTAACCAGTTATTATAATAAATATAATAATACATACCTACTTAAGTACTTGTATAAATTAAATCATGTATTTATATATATATATATATTCAATGATATTTACCATTTTGTTTATTTTTATGTAATTGTAATTTTTCAATATACTGAGGAGGTTCTACATTTTTCATTGTAGTCTTTTTTTTCCTTTTAGTGTTTTCAATATTAGATAGGTCACTTGTCTCCTCTGCTAGTTTATTTATTTCTCGAGCTTCATGTAATGTTCCTATTAAGTAAAAAAGTAGTAATAAAATAAAATAATCTACCTATTAATAAAATATTTACCAATGCCTTTTTTCAAAATTCTTGATTTAAAATAATTAAAATCAAATTTATTTGGAATAGTCCTACGTTGTATATGTTTTTTTATATCTTTTTTTGGCCAGGCGCACATGTTATTTTTCATCCAGTGAGCAGGAACAGCTTCTACAGCATCTTCATCATCAAAACTAACTATGGTCCACATTTTATACTGGTTTATTAAACTAAAAGAAAATTTTAATTAATAAACAATTTTAATATGCTTTTTATACATATGTACGTATTACAGCGTGCTACATAAATAACTGAAAATTAATATAATAATGTTTTTTCTAATCAGAATATTTTTTTAAATTGATAGGAATAAAAGTTATTACATAATATTGTCATAGTCAATAAAATAATCATCTTTCAGTTCTTTCTTTTACATGATATACAAATGTTGATAGTACTTACTTAGTATTGTTTATATAATATAATATATAGCTATTATTACCATTATTATTTCTAGTTGGAATAATTTAATTTTGGATGAACATTTTCCCCATAATACACACTATTTAATTGCAGATGTTTTCTAATGATTATAATATATTAATAGTTAATTTTTTTAAAACTTAATTACTATTGTTTGAACTTTTATGTTCCAGTGATTAAACAAAAAAATGTCATTTAATAAAAATACATTTTTATAGGTAAACTAGCTGAATCAATTTTATTGTATAAGATTTATATCGTCCAATTTATTAAATGAAGTTTACTTTAACGATTGGTATAAAGTTATACCAATATCATTTGCAAAATATCATACATAATTATATAATTACCTATACAAGTTAACATAAAAAAAAAAAATAATAATAATAAATTTTATAATTATAATACTGTGTGTAGTAAAGGAATAGCTATAAGGTTGCTGTTCCTCGGAAATATCAAAACCTTGTTTTTAATATCACTTATGTGCCAGTAATCAAAATCATCCGATAATTGTTGTACTTCATATATATTCAGGAGCGATGACCGAATTGGTTGATTGTAAAAATCTTTTTTTTGAATAAATTTCTTTCCTATTAAAACAGCTTCTCCAGTTTCTTTTAAATGAGCGATATTGACTAACTTGATAATATCATTATTATTGGTACAAAAATATGACTCTGCATCAATTTTACTTTTAATCTTGAAGTTGTCTTTTACTAATGTACTATATTGTGGATTAATTGTTATATTATCTACCAAAGGCCCTCTATTATGAGACCCTAAAATAATATAGGTTTTTGGTTTTGTTTTAGTAGGTTGCATAACTAAATTACTTCTTTCATGATATCTTTTTACAATTTGTTGTAAGGGCTTGTCTGGCTTTCTCAGCATTGTCTTTAGAACCTTCATGTAGTTTTCAAATGGAAATGCACAGCATAAATCTAATGGTCCATATCTTTGATAATCATCAACTAAATGGATTAAGCCATGAATATTACTAGATACCAAGTGTTGTCCATAAATTTGTTCAAACGATTTTACAAAATATTCCAAAAGATCTCGTGCATATTGGACAAATTCACTAAGACCTGGTGTTAAAAGTATAGTCATAGCTACACTTAAAGCTTTAAAGTTTTTAAAACAGTGATCACTCAACACTTTATCCAATACTATTGGTCCAATATATAATAAAAAAGACCTAAACTCAGTTGCTTTCCAACGAGCTACTTCAATTAATGTTCTAGGTTTTCTGGAAAACTCGCATACAAAAGCTGGTTTTAAATTTACTATTAGTTCTGATAGTTGATTAATTTTCCATGATGGCAAACGAACACTTAAGGGGCCTTTCATCCATAACATTAGAAGTTTTTTGACTACACCCAAGCAGACCAAGTGCATATAATCTAACGAAAAACCTTTAACAATATCAAATCTGGGTATTTCTACCAAACATGAATTATTAGAATACACATGATGACTAATTTGAGTTCGTTGAACATAATCATGATGTGTCCTTTCAGGTGGTCGGTTAGATGGTTCAGAATAAGGAAAGCACAACCGCTTTTCAATATATTCCCCTTCAATTTTGCAACGTGTACACGAATAAAATCCATTATGTCCTTTAATTTTTAAAACAAATGATTTTGCTGGAACATCACAACAAACAACATCCAGCACAACTTTGTAAAACTTTCCGTTGATGAAAATACCATTTAAAATTAATTGTTCAGCTTCAATGACAAAGTCTTTTAGATAATCATTGCTGTCATTAGGTTTTTGTGTTCCACAATAAACTCCAATAGGAAAAACATGATTGGAAATTGATCGTATGTATGCCAATATAGGCCAAAATTGAGTGGAACTGCTCTTAGAAATAGGTAATCCATCAATACCTACTACTAATTTTATTTCTTCATTTGAAATACTATCAAGAAAATGGCGTATAATACCGTTTTCAATACCAAAATGATAGTATGTACCCGGATTGACTTTTTTAATACTATTGCATTCGACAGACTTTGTTTTTAACAATGTTCTAGCGTCTTTAGGTAAACAAGAAAAACATTCATGTTTTTTTAAAATGGTTAAAATTCCATTGAGTGCAGTATGTGTTATCTTGAAATGTAAAGCCCACTGTGCTAATTCTGACTCAAATGAATAACTATTTATCTCTATGTCATCATTTGATACATTTGAATACTGTCGTTGTTCATCAAGTATCTCAGGCCTAATAGTATTTTGTTCAATATCCGAACTAAACGTGTGTTGTCTTTTTTCTGCACATTCGACTTCATGATTAAAACTGTTTGTTATTGGCATGTCTCTAACCAAACTACTACCTACTGGCTGAGATTCTAAATCTGATGATGAAATATCTAAGTAAAAATAGTGAAAAATAAACAAAAATGAATCCAAAAATACCTACATATTATTATTAATTATAATATGATAACCTAAATTATATACTTAAACAACTGTAGGGTTCTGGAGCAGTATCTGGAATAAAAGCTTCTACCTCCTCTTTAATTTTTCTCCTTTTGGAACGAGCACTCAGATGTTTATACATTTTTTTTATAAACCTATTTTATAACAATGTTTTTAATAATAGTTAACAATAAAATTCTAAGGTTCTAAATTGCAAATTTTGTTCAACTAATTATTACTTATCAAAAAAATACAATAATAAAATAGTTATTAGTTATTATAAATAGGTAGGTACCTAATAGTCTAATTAAAAAACTACAGAAACAATAAGAATAGGTACCTACAGTAAATAAACTCAAAACAATGCATCATTTTTAGGTAAGTAGTGAAAAACAATAATTGAACAATGAATAACTAGAAATTATGAATACTTAGACAAAAAAAAGCATAGTATATAGTTATATAATTAACAAAAGAACTCTCGAAATAACTTACAACATTTATTATTCTATTATTTGTGAGCTAGGTATAAGTACTTACCTATAAATACCCACCATTGCCTATCAAGTATAATTTATCATTTAATAATAACATATGTTTTGGAAATGGGTAGTATATTCCTAACCTATTCCTCCTATTTAATTTTTAGAGAAATAATATTAAAACTACAGACAACAAATGTAAACTAATACAGTGTTATACAGCTACTTCACTTAAAAATAGTTGATTGAGTCTGATTAACAATAATTTTAAGTCCAGGAATTTAGATACAAAAGAGGCCTTGTACGAAATTGTGAACTAAGTATTTTAAACAAAAAAATCCAATCTTAACACAAAACGCTATGATGTACCTACCTATTATAGTAATTAGTCCTATTATTAAGATTATAATCACTTAAAATATAGGTATACAAAATATTTAAATAATGCCTATGTTTTGGGGGGTATTTGGTAGTGAAGGTGCAACAAAGTTCATAGCTAATAAATTTTAATTAACTGTTGTCAATAAGTAATAAATATGCGTGTACCTAAAGGTGTATAAACAATGCTGTTTCTGTGGAAGGTGTGCCATACCGACATAACGATGGTAACGATGGTTTTATGTCGGGCAAGTCACACCGGTAAGATACTAAACTGGATCAGTATCAGTGTAATTTGCCTCATATGAAATCATGAGCCCAGTTACCTAATAGGTACATAGGTATATTATATTATACTCATATTAATTCCTATTATAGTGAATAAATAATAATATACACAATTGTTTATACATATTATAAACATTTTAATTTTTAAAATAACAATAATTCTTTGCACACTATCTATTAACTATTATATTTGTATGATTAAACAAAATTTTAAAATATTTAGGTAACACGCTAGCATGAAAAACGAATATTTTATATTATAGCTTACCTTATAGATCTCGATCAAGTTGAATCACAACACAATTTAACAATAACAATATAGGTACAACACTATAGCTGAAAACAATTTGTATTTTGTAATGTTAAAAATTAAAGTTATTACAGCAGGTATGCGTCGACTAAAATAAGTAACAATATTATGGAACGCGAGGTATATGCGAGTTTGCGACTACGATAGTACGTTGATCGGATAGTGCGACAAGTCACAACACAGCGGCACAAAAAATATAAACACAAACAATATTAATTATTCTAAGAATTAAGAGCCCGTTATTGGGAATCCATTTATTTATAGAATAATAACAATAGGAGAGTACATATTGCGAGTTGGAGAAACGAGCGATGAACACGCACGTACGCCAAGTGCCAACCTCATAATAATATAAATTATAAATGCTGATTAGTGGTTATACTGATTATAGACTTAACTAATAAGTAATAAGTATACACTTATAACATATAACTGCGTTTACGCTAAGAATATACCGCTTGGTGTCGCCGCCGTGCATATAGAGTCATAAAAATATCGCAGCTTTGCGTAGTTTTTAAACAATACCAAAATGTACAAACAAAAAAAGTAATAATTAGCAAAGGAATATTATTATTGTATGTAAATAAAATACATGTGTGATAATCGAAAGAGTATACGCCGCGAGTGGAATCAAACAATTAATAGTGTGATAATACAACTCACTACGTATACAGATGCAGTTCCGTGGAGGCCGACAGTAAATTGAACGGAGTATAGTAAAGCAGTGACGGCGGGATATAGGATTTTTTTTTTTTTTAATTGATCTTGAGCCTGGCAACTATGGCCATTAGCTGTATTGGTTTTGTTTGTTTTTAATGTCGGTAGGGGGGGG